GGAGGTCATTGATCGATTTCTGTTTGCTTTGTATGTTGTTTTCCTCACTGTTAGCTTCTTCACCATACTAATATTCTGGTTGTACTGGTACAGTTTTGACAAAAGAGCATAATATCCCGGCCTGTAAACTGTAACTGTACAAAACTGTACATGTTTAAATGCAGATGTACAAATTCACTGGTCGATCTCTTTAAAGACTGCTCAACTGCATACATGGACTCCTCATACAGTGTCTTTTGTTTTACAGTAGCTTATGTCTTAAAGCAGCAGAAGCTTTCTTTTAATTGCAGACAGCATTCGGTAGTTGCACAAGCACATGTACACTCTTAATGGGTAGACCACTGTTTAACTAAGAAGCTCAGCCCACAATATCCAGCCTTTGACCTAAAATGAATTTGAAACCTGGCCTAAGGCAATACAAGTATGCTACAAATATAATTAACAATAGACAAGCTATAAGCTAATTTTTTTTCAATTATCAGAATTTATTGTGGCCTTATGATAAAAAAATATGTTTTCTAATTTGCACCAGCATTTATGAATCACTATAGTCATGAAATAGGAGTTTGAGCATCTTGCTATGTAAATTATGAAAATAACCTTTTAAGGGTTTTTGTTTTTTTATTATTTTATTTTGCAAAAGAAAGCAGATTTGTGTAATGAATATTTCTTTTGCATCAATAGTCACTAGAGGTCACCCTCACTTAAATTCTAGCTCTGAATCTTTGTTTTTCACTCATTAAACTTCCATTGCAAACATATTACTGTAAAACTTTGCTTGTTTTTTTTTACAAACTAAGGAACAAGACAAAATTATTTTCTACACAACTTAATAGCCTGCCACAGAGAACTTGCATGGACATTCCTAATGTATGTAAATGATCAACAAAAAAGATGTAAGTTTCAATTAGGGCAGGGTGATATTGAAATGGCTGGACGAAAAAAACAGAGAACCCAAGAGCAGATCAGTTCCAACAGTTTATTGGACAAAAATCAAAGTAAAAGGAAACAATATTTAAGCCGAGCCACCGAGCATAGGGGGACGAGATGATTCCATTGTCCAAGGACAGACAAGGGTCAGCAACGGGTAGGCAGTCCAACAAGGCAACAATGCAAGAGGGCAAGACAGGAGAGTGGTCAAGAGGCAGGCAGAGTCAGAACCAGCAAACACAGTACAAGGAACAGGGCAGAGAATAATCCAGGTACAGGCAAAGGTCCAATAACAGAGGCAAGTCCTAAAAAGGTTGAGGAAAAGTAAACTGCAGGGCTGGACAGGGCTGGGAGAAACAAAACAAGATAAAAAAAAACTTGACAAGACTAAATATAACAATATTTGAATGGCTGGAGAATGACAGAAAAAAACAGTCAAAACACTCTGGCAGAGAAAGCAGATAAAGAAGGGATCTAAATAGTGTGAGAAATCAAACAAGAGGGGAATCAGGTGAGAGGTGTGTAAGAGCACTAATTACAATGCTGCACAGCTGTGGTTGCCCAGGAAACAGAGTGCAGGGAAATAAGAAACAGGTGAGAGAAAGGTGCGCAGTAGCGCTGATTATAAATGCAGCACAGCTGTGGTGCTGTGGAGATATACAGGGAAAGATAACCAAGAGAAAAAGCAGGCAGAGCAATGATCAAACTCAAGTCCTGACAGATGTGGCCGATTGAGATTATGGGCCCTATCTTGCACTCGGCGCAAATGACTTTGTACACTGACGCATGTATCATTCCTATTTTGCACCCGCGCAAAGCGGACTTTTCCCTCCACAGACACACGTCGGTTAACTAAGAAATACACTTGCGCTCCCCGGGGCGGTTCAGCGCAAAGAGGAGGCGTGTTCCGGCGCAAACTTTCCCTCATGCTATTTTGCTGTTCTATAAAACAATTGCGCCACTGACCAGAAAAAACCTAGTCTAAAGTCAGTGGCGCGTTGCGCGTTGTTCATTATGCTATTTTAAGGGCGCATGCTTGGCCATAATCAATGTAGCATGTGCACAACGCGCATACACTTTGATTCTCTCATGTAAGCAGCGGTTTTCATTTTTGCAAATCATACATTATTAAGATAGATAGATAGATAGATAGATAGATAGATAGATAGATAGATAGATAGATAGATAGATAGATAGACTATTTTTTATAAAAGCATACATGTAGCTTACACATTTACCCAAATTATCATACGCCTGTTTAACAGAAGTTAATTTGGGTGGGTTTCTCCATCCCCAATGTCACTTCTCTGTGTTTTACGGCCCTGACGAGAACGTTGCTTTCCTCGGCTGTGAACCGCTCCTGGCGCGCGCCTGGCATATCCGCCGTTATAATAGGAATCCGCTTTAGAACAAGCGCGCCTGCTCTTAAAGGGAATGTGAGATGACGCTCTGATTGGTTTATTTCACGTTACGCCCAAACCACACCTATGAATAATGAAGCTACTTCAGACCAACCCCTTTTAGATTTGCGCCAGGCGCAAGAGGCATTTATCCCGCCGGGAAAATAGCAACAGCGCCGAGATCCGCCCACAAAGTTACTTGCGCTTTGCGCTTTGACACTTGCGTTTCAGATCGTTAAAATAGGGCCCATTAACATGAATATTCAGCCTGTCATTCAGACCATGTATTCTTATCTGCTTGTTTCTTGGCTGCATTTAATTTTGAGGAATGAAATATCTGTCTGGCTTTGGAGTTAGATGTCTGTGTTAATATCTGAGTCTGTATTAAAACCATCATTTTCTCCAAGAAGGCTTCGGGGAAGAGGTCCTGACACCAGTGGCTTCAGGTCTCTGAGGGCAGTCCCCTCCAGGGTGCCCTTTGTTGCCCTCAGGGGGCCGTTCTGCCAACTCTGCCACCTTGTGTGCTTCGGGGCGCATCGGTAACATCAGAGACCAGTCTCGAGGACAGGCTCTGGTTATGGAACAAGTGGTAAAAGCCTTGCTGGGAAAGGGGGCCATAGAACCTGTACCTTCCCCCGACAGAGAGTCCGGGATTACAGCCGGTATTTTATCATTCCTAAGAAGGATGCAGGATTGCGTCAAATTCTCGGTCTGTGCGCTGAGACGAATCGTGACACAATCAGATCCAAGGACTGTTTTTTGGCTCAATGTGGAGCAGATGGCGGTTCGGCATTGAGATGTCGTCTTCCCTATATAAAAATATGGGGGTTTAGGCTGAACGCTAAAAAAAGTATGTTTTCTCCATTACAGAGGACCACTTTTGGCTGTGTCCAATGGAATACCTTTTGGCCTGCAGTACATAAAACCTATGCAGTGGTGGCACAAGACCAAGGGGTTTCCCTGAGGGGCAACCCGTTCTGCATGATCAAGGTTACGCGCAGTAACCTTTGTACTTCGTACTTTGCTTCGTACTTTGGTTATGTGGAAGAAGCCTTGGTTCTTGTCCCAGGGTCCTGTGCTGGGAGGTCCTTGTCGTTGCGTAACACTTATGACGGATGCTTCCCTTAAGGGCTGGGGATTGACCATGGATGGTCGCTCAGTGTCTGTGGATGGGTCATCATCTGTCCTAGCACTTAATTGCCTGGTGATGATAGCTCAGGCTCTACATTCCTGAGTACCGGAATCAGGGAGCAGACATCCTGTCGAGGCAGGGGCTGAGGCCCAGGGAATGGAGACTCCACCTCGAGGTGGTGGAGCTCATAATGAGGTGCAGATGTGGCTGGGGTTGTGTCTGTACTCGGTTTCCCTGATTTTTCTACTCCCGGGAGTTCTGGAGAGCAGAGTTATGGAACGTGGGTTTGACCTCTGAGGGGGCCCAACTCATAGACTGTATAGACGTTCCCATTGCGCACAGAGTCGGAACTATTGAAAGTTTTAAATGATATTTTTTGGCACTAGATAAAGGGTATGCTGTTATTCTGGTGCTGCTGGATCCGAGTGGAGCCTTTGATATGATTGATCATAATATGGATATCTCTTTGAACACATAGTCGGTTTAAAAGGTACAGTTTGGAAATGGTTTCAATCTTTTGTAAGTGATGGATATTTTTCAGTCAAAACTCGACCTCCACTAAAAGACGCCTTTGGTGTACCACAAGGGTCCATTCTCTCTCCCACACTTTTCTCTTTGTTTTTGTCCCCGTTGGGCAGCATTTTTAGTAACCATGGAGTATCATTCCACTGTTTCGCCGACGACACTCAACTGTATTTACCACTAAGGCACCCAACGAAATCTTTGGATTCTCTTTTAGCTTGCCTAAATGATATTAAAAACTGGAAGGCTGAAACTTTTCTTAGCCCATTGGCATCATACTGTAACAGTCGGTATGTGATTTAGGCTTCCTAATCGATGATAACCTAAAAATGGAGAAGCAAATCAATTCGGTGGTACGGGCTTGTTTTTATAATTTGCGTCTCCTGGTAAAAACTAAACCTTTTTTTATCAAATGTAGACCTCGAAAGGGTCGTTCATACCTTCATTTTATCGCGTCTCGATTTTTGTAACTCCCTCTATCTCTAAATAATCAGAATTCCCGAAATGCACCACAGAGTGAAAACATTGTGACATCACCTTCTCATTCTCTATTAGATCTGCTAAATCCTTACCAGTATTCAGGAACTTTCTGAAATCTCATTTAGCATTGGGAGCTTATAACAGGTAAACTCAATCTATGTGATATATGTGGTGTCTGATTTGTTCATATGTATGTTTTATCTTTTTTCCTTTTATATAAAGCACTTTGGTCAACCTCAGTTATTTTTAGCAGTGCTATATAAATAAAGACAAGATATACTATGTTAGTGAACCTTAGGCAGGTGCAGATACCATGGTAATCGAATGAACTTCAAAGAAGACCATGTCCGAAAAATTACCATGGTACCATGTCCAAACAGCTAAAGTAAATGTCACAGGTCGGGGGGGCCAAGCCAGACTGCGCCCACCCCTCAAACCCAGGACCACCTCGAGGAGCGTACCAGAGACCAGGCAGACAAGAAGAATTTCTAAAAGTAACAATCTTTATTGAATAAAAGCAAGAATTAAAAGTCTTAATGCGGGCTTCGTCTCTCTTTCCAGGGAGGAGGAGGCCGCGGGATTCACTGCGAGGGCCCGGGTTACTGGCAGCCACAGAGGAAGAAGGAGTCGAACGCCCGTCCGGCGTGCAGGTAAGTAACGTGGTAAGTAGACTCTTATTGGCGTAATACAGGCGGGCAGCGACCCGGGCAGACCAGGGCCGGGGCCACGGGCCAGGAGGGGACTCTCTCCACAGGACAGGTGGGTAGCAGGTAAGTTTTTCCCAAGCGTCAGCTATTCGGCAGATGACCGGCACAGGGGGCGATGGAGTCCAGGAGGGGGACTCGCTGCCGGCCAGGTAGGTAGTCAGGTAGGCAGATCTCCTCCGTGTAGGGTGCTCTCCTCCGTGGCGTCACTGAGCAGCAGGTGTGAGGTCCTCCGGGTGCCTTTCCGCCCTTGACGGCTCCAGCCAGAGACAAGGGTCCCCTCTAATCCAAGATAGAGACAAGTTTGCAGGTTCAATTCTATTTCTGTGAAGTAAGGACTTACGGCTGGAGCGGGTGGTTCTGAACAAGCAGCGTTGCTGCTGAGATGTGTCTCTCCTCTGAACAGGCAGCACACACGAAGGCGGTGGCAGAGGAACGTTCTATTTAGATAGACAAGACAAGTTAAACAGGACAATCACACTCCTCTCTCATAGCACAGGACCTGGTGGCCGAAATGGAACATACACATTCAACCTGAGGGCTTTGCTCCGCAAACACGTGAACTGGAGAGTACTGGCGGTTAAATAAACGTGTACATCCACACACTGCAACTTCACGTCAAGTCCAATACTGTGTGACACTTCAATTCAGGCACCGCAATCCACTCTCAAATCTTCGTGCAATAAGGCCAGCACTCACCCACTGTTCAATCCCTCCACTGTTGCGCGGATTCAACACTCAGAAGCTGAAGAGATGCAGAGGACTTCACACCGCATGGAACACAGCGTCTTCAACACTCTTTCACACTCAGAAGAAGATATCAGGGTTTCACGGATGAATCAGTTCACTCTCTTAGTGGTAATTATATTTGTGGTCAATACACTTCACAATTCCTCATTCAGTTCAATACACGGCATGCATTCACACGGATCCGGTGTTTCATTACTTATCTTTCTCTCGAGTGATGACATTCTCCAATCTTGACTCAATCTCCAAAATACCCTCACTTCACATCCAATTCACGTTCCAGCTTGTACTCCTTCAATCACCGTTGCACCCCTTTCCAGTCAGATCCTCACAGCCGCTCCAAAGATCCCAGCAAATCCAAGCCACTGCCAAAAGAATCGATTTCTCCCGGGGGAGTACCACACCCGAATGCCTTTTCCTTTTCCTTTTAACTGCTTCTCTAGGCCGTGTTTCCCAATCACAAATCCCCACACCAAACGCCCGCACCTGGTACCGCTTAGCTAATCAGCTGCCACTGTCATGGCAACTGACAACAAGCAAACCAGCGCGGTGTGTCAGTGAAATCGTCCCGGGGGGGAAACACACTCCTAGCGGAAATTGGTTCCGCTGGATTTGTCACCTTGTGACATAAAACCATGGCATTTTGGATCATAAATCAATAGCTCTATTTTTGCTGCAACAAAACATGTGAAAAAGCTGTGTTGAATTTGTTTGTTTGATTTTAATCAAATCTTCAGGATTACAAATGTCCATCATTTACATAGTGTAAGTGCTCTAACCCAACTCTCAACCAAACCCTTATATAACCCTTGTGGTCACTGCCTGCATTTTTCCCCCACATTACTCAATTTTGAGATGTGTTTGCCATAATAAAGTAAGATGTAATATACTAGTATTTGCTGAAATAAGCATCCAGATTAACATAATTCAAAGCAGGCAAGTAAATCACTGAATAGACATTGTTAAAAAGGCTGCTTAAGAAGTCAATGGACTGTGCTGTTTGTTTTATTTTCATAACATTGGACTACATTCTACAGCGTTTCATCTAACAAAGTGAGATTGTCAATCTGTATACTTAGGAGGGCTTTTACACTGGTCATGTTTTCTGCGGTCCGAGTCCGAGCGTGATTGTTCCCGGCGCCCCCCACCACGTTGATCTGGTTTCACACTAAACTTGACTCTATCGAACCCTGGTGCATTTGCATTCATTTTGCTTCATCACAAACGTGCACGGCGCATGACAGAAAACAGGACGCAGGTCAATATATTGTGTTTTTATTGATTTGGTGCTGTTATGCACAGCTGAGTAAACAAAACTTGGGTATACTGTATGTGTGTCGCATGAAGGCAGCTTTCTGCTGCTTGCAAACGGACTCTTTTGAGGAGACAGCAGATTGCAAGCCTTTAATTTGCCACTCTGATTGTACTCACTGTGCGCGAATATACTACATGCTCACTAGCTCGTATCCAAGGGAATTCATCAACACTGTCAGTCACATGTGTTTTGTTGAACTAATGACTTCGTCGTCAACTAAAATGCATGCGCAAGTTACTTTACTTCTACTTTAGTCCCAGGTGCTTTCCCATTCATGTCAATCACGTCACAGCTCCAGAGAAACCGAACTCAGAGCACCTCCTGCAGGTAGTCTCAGGTTCAGTACCCCGGTGCACTCAAGGGTCCGCATCACAGCTTTACCAATTTTTCATGCAAACTGTTTCAAACTAAACTACCAGTGTGAAAGCACCCGTAGTGTCATGGTGGCTTAGGGAAGAGAGAAGGAGTTGTGGATGTAAGTGTAGTCATTATTAAAAGAAGATAATAGAACCAAGAACAGAGGAATCCACCAAGAAAGGCAAAAACCCAAGTACAACAGCTTACCATTACTGTTACAGCTAAGACAATAACCGACAACTCAAACTGAAAACAATTAGCTACAGAATATATACTGGGATAATGAGGAACTTAACAAGACACAGGTGAACTAAATCAGTTAATATATACATTTATTTACAGATGCGTGGATGAATATCGCTGATGTTATCAGATTTTCAGGTGAGATTCTCAATTAATTCAGTTAATGGACGCCCTGAGGTAAAGTGTTTAAACTGCAGGCTCAGCAACGATTGTATTTAATTGTACAGTACAATCATAACATAGTACGGACATTAACTTCATTTCATAATGTCCTTAAACATTACTATATTGCTGGCGATAAATTGAGAAAGTGCTTATCCGTTGTGCAATAGTTGTCCTAGATGCGACGCGACGCTGCGCTTCTCGTCCGGTGTGCGACCCCCTTTAGAGTGGTGCAGGTATGACATCACTTTGTAGGCCAAACCGCAGAAGCAAGTTGCATTTTAGCACTTCCGGTTCCATAGTCCCGAAGTCAATGTTTTTTTTTTAATGGGGTTTTGATTAAATGGCTGAAATAAGGTCTGTGGTGAACACAAGCTCAAGACACTTTCATGTTTTATTCTAAGACATAAAATACATCAGTATTACCCCACTCATGATTTTTTAAAGCTGTTACGTGTCTTGAAAAAGGAGGCTGCTGACAAGCGGCTACATTTTTAGATAAAACTGAAAGAGTTGTCGGAAGCTTAGTGATGGTGACGTTGAATTCGTGGGACCGTGGTGTAATTCGTTTATAGCCTTTAGCTTTTTAATTCTGGCGACTGCATTTAGGGTTAGGGTTAGGGTTAGGTGCATATAATCCAAAAGCAAATGGGAAAATCCAATTGGGTTTTTGTCAAGGGAAACAGTGTGATGTGAACTGCCGGTTGGCCTACAAAGTGACGTCATACTTGCACCACTCTATTGAACCAGCTTTTGGAAAATGGATGAATGGGCTACAGGCGCCATCATCTGGTCAGATGCAAGAATTACTTCGGCACGACCCTCAAAGTGCATTATGGGTATTCTCTAGCCGTTGAGCGTACATTGGTTGTACACTAGTTATTGAAGTGCATTATGGGATTGAACGAGTGCACTTGATAAGGTCCACTATGGTTACGGACACCACTACAAATGGCTGTTCCCTATTTACGGGTATAGGGGCGATTTCGAACAGGAAATAAGAACATGGATACAACAGAACAAAATAAACATCAAAATAAGAGTCTTAAAACAGACATTCAAAAACAGGATATGACACTCAAGGCCCGTTTACATCAAGGACGATAACTATAACGATAATGACAAAGATACAGTTCTAAATATTAATAGCTGAGTACAGACCACAACTATCACTGCGCAGAGAAATCCACACTGAAACATCTGTAAACTCGTATATCATCTCCATCGTAAAAGCTTGCTGAGATGAAACTGAGACCATACATTTCTCATGCTATTCTTCTGAAACGATCATTTTATTAGCAAAATATCTCACCAGTGGTGCATCCAGGTCACACTCAATCACCATTACATTTATGCTCCATTTTCACTGGACAAAATGCTGTCTAAGTGTGGACGAAAGTCCGAAACTGAGAAAAAGATGATGAAAAGAAGAAGATAGCAAAGAGATAAAAGACAATGCAGGATCTGGTTGTTTAATTTGAATCAAATGTTCAGGTTTTGCAAATGTCCATCATTTACATAGCGTAAGCGTAGTGTAGTGTTTTCAACCTTGGTTTGCTTAGTTTGTATGATCCATTAAACCCTTGTGGTCACTGCCTGAGTAGGAGAACATGTGAGGTTGTTATTCCTCTCATGACTCAATTTTGAGATTTGTTTGCCATTTCTTTTGGTGTTAAATTGTATGCCGCCTTCACATGCAATGATCATAAATATGACTTTCCTAGTTGAAAATTGGACATGAACGCCCTCTCAAATGGATTTACTACTGGAAGCTCGAGATTCATTTTGATACCCAAGTTCCCGATTTCGGCGGGCCAAAAACTTTAAACATGGTGGAGAGGATAACGGTTGCTGCTGTGACTGCTCTTCTTTATTTGTTTTGGGTGTTTTTTTTCAACAACAGCCACGTCACCTTGTCTTTTCGTTAAAGTAGTGCATATTTACATATATGAATAATCATTTGAAGCATATTGTATGTTTTATACACAGCAAAAATAGCCTGTATTTGACCGAAATTCCAGAATCGTCAGCAAGCTGACTATCTAGATAGTGCTATGAATGTTTTTATGGTTGTCAACGAATGGGGCACTACAAAATTAAATATCTTTAAATTTTGGCTTTAATAAGATTTCCTCAAGAAATAGTCAAGAATAAACCTGGTGTCCTCCATGATTCCTGTTCTTTCCGACAACAAATCACTTGAATGCAACGAGCTCGTAATCACGACTTTAGAAGTGGGAAGTAGGACATTTCTGATAAAACTTGAAGGCAGCATAAATGCAGCATAAACTGTGCTTGTTTTAGCAAGCTAAGCTAATACCTGTTGTCCTTCTTAAACAGGAAAGCATTATGGATTGTAGTTTATAGTGGTGTGGAAACCATGAGTGGAAACAGAGATTCTAATTATTGGACAAAAAACTTCCACACGTAATAACCTAGAATACTGTTTAACACTTGATGGCTGCTCTGTTAAGTCTTCGTCGTCGGTTAGGAACCTGGGTGTGCTCTTTGATACCAATCTCTCATTTGAAAGTCACGTGTCTAGTATATGTAAAACCGCATTTTTCCATCTTAAAAACATATCTATATTACGCCATATGCTCTCATTAACAAATGCAGAACAATTAGTTCATGCGTTCATGACCTCAAGGCTAGATTACTGTAATGCTCTACTGGGTGGTTGCCCTGCACGCTTAATAAACAAACTACAGCTAGTTCAAAACGCAGCAGCTCGAGTTCTTACCAGAACCAGGAAATATGACCATATTAGCCCGGTTCTGTCAACACTGCATTGGCTGCCTATTAAACATCGTATAAATTTTAAAATATTGTTGATTACTTACAAAGCACTAAATGGTTTAGCTCCGCAGTACTTGAGCGAGCTCTTAACGCATTATAGTCCTTCACGTCTATTGCGATCTCAAAATTCCGGCCAGTTGATAATACCTAGAATATCTAAATCGACTGCAGGCGGGAGATCCTTTCCTATTTAGCACCAAAACTTTGGAACAGTCTTCCTACCATTGTCCGGGAAGCAGACACACTCTGTCAGTTCAAAGCTAGACTAAAAACACATCTCTTTGACCTAGCATACACATAATACATTATAGACTTCGATAATTCAATGTTAGGCTGCATAGATTAGGTCAGCCGGAACTGGGAACACTTCCCTTAAATCCAGATGTACTCGTTACATCATAAGAAGAATGGCATCTACGCTATCTTTAGTGCCTTTGTTTATCCCGAGGTTTTCCTGCAGCCTGCCGGATCCAGGCCGTATCCAGATCTGACGAAGGAGATTCGCCTGGACCCGATGACAATGCAGTGCTGAAGTGTCAACTATCCTCTCCCTATGGAGGATCCCTTTCCCACTCTACAGATAAAGCGTTGTTGAAAATCCGGTTCGCGTACCCCGAAGTGATAAAATAAAACTCTGTATCAAATTTTATAGGCAAGACAAGTAGTTTGTTTAGGCATGGTTTGTTGGGAAATTACAAACCTGCGCACACATATTCAAACGAATTTAACTATAGAATCAATTTTTAATGCGCATGTGAACGCCATCCGGTCACAGGTTCGCGTTTAAAGTCTGTTTAGAGAGAACGCCGTCGTCTTAGTGGCCCCTAATGTAATAACAAATGATAATTTTGCTGGAAGTGAATCAATCAAAACCAACTTTAGCTGGAAATAACACTATTCAAAAATCGCTATAAAGCCAAAACAATCTCTGTTACCGTAAATTGTATGTTTATCTCTGTAAAGCTGCTTTTAAACAATCTCCATTGTTAAAAGCGCTATATAAATGAAGATGACTTGACTTGACTTGGTGTTCTACATGGTTTACGCCACAGGTTTATTTATCCCGTCATTTCATTTGAGCTTTTAGGAAAGATGGTAATGAAAATGTTAGGGACATCACTGTACATGAATGAGACCAGGGACTTTACCCCTAAAATAAATAAGAAGAACCCACTTTTAAATTAATTTTCAAGATTTTTAATTGTTAATTTGATTAATTCTGCCATCAAGGTTAGCTATAGAAATAATGATTAAATAAATAATCTACTAAAATTAAGAATAAAAACTAGAGAAAATATGTTTATACTCCACAAACATGTTTTTGTTTCCCAAAGAACCTTTCTGTCAACAGTTCTTTAAAAAAAAAAAATAATTATAATGTGAAGAATATCTAAAGAACCCCTTTCCGCAATAAAGAACATTTTGTGGAATGGGACGATTTAATGGATGTTAAAGGTTCTTCGTGGAACCTTCATCGGTGGCAATAAAGAACCTTTGTTTTTAAAAGTGTGCAGTAAACTGGACGTTTTGGCTTGTTGGTACAGTTGTATTATTTTTGCTAAGTGGTTACAAAGGAAAAAATCTATTAATGGTTAAAAACAGAAACAGCCAAGAAGCACCATTGACAAGACATTGTCAACTCAACCATCTCACCCACCGAAAGACAAGTGCATTGATACAACTCTAGACAACTGGCATATAGTTTGCCTGAAAAACATTTGCGAGAACTTTTCTTACCAGAGAAGCAGCTCATATTCTGGTTCAGGCCCCAGTCTGCTTTCATCTTGACTTTCTTGCTGGCAAGCAAATATTGAATATTGTTGAATGGCAGTAAAATATAGAGATTGATTTTAGAAAAATGGGTGTGAAAAAGCCATTGTCCCCTGTTCTGGTTATTCTAATTTGTGTAAACAAATAAGTCATATAAAAAGCAAGTATTTATGTTATGTCCACTATTGCCATTGTGCTTTAAACCTCCACACATACAAATTGGCAAAGTCTGCTTAATATTGAGTTGCAATCCAATTGACTGAGGACCTGATGGCTTTTATCTGTCTTCCAAGAACACAGGTAAGACTAAGAAAAGTATCACAATTTTGGTGTTATAACATTTTATTTTCATTTCATGTGTATTGGCCATGGAACATGGCCAATACACTTTTTTAAATTTCTAAGTATGCTGTTGTTTCAGGAAAAAAAGTTGTTTCTTGTTTCTTCTTTTTAGCTTGTCTTGACCTGGAGTTTTTAATTTCCCCAACTATCACTAAAAAGTGTTAAGGGAAATTATAATTTTGTACAGTTTAAAATCTTGGTAATGTTAAGGAATCTTGGTAAAGCTTCTGTACGGAGCCCCTAAAGGCACACGACTGGAGGAAAAAATATATTTCAAATATATTGCGTTTGCTCACGAAACGTATGCTTTTCCACCAAGAAACATTGCGTTTGCTCGGGTTTCTCAGGGGAACGCAAAACATTTGAAAGAGAACGCAAAAGTATTGAAATAATTTTTACATCACCATGTCCCTTTAGGGGCTCCATACTTTAGTTTTAATTACTCAGTGGCAATGTAATTATTTTGTGCATATTTGCCATATATTGCAAATACTAGATTCAACAGGCTTTCACATGGTTTTCCACTCACACTTGGTTCCAGTGGATCACCAGCTGCTTCATTATACAATGTAAGATATATTTCCATACAATTTTTTATTTATTTTTTATTTTTTACTGTTTTGAAGTAATTTGATTGTAGATTTATATAAAAAAAATCTTAACACATTTCGATGGTCCACTTTAGACATTCTACTGGCTATAAGTAACTTTGCAACTACATATCAATTAACTCTGAGTATTAGTAGACTGTCTGCTTAATATCTGCTAACTCTTTATTTTGATGCTCCTCAACAGACATTCTACTGAGTAACTTTGAAACTAGATCAACTTATTCCACAAATCCGAACCCTAACCTAACAGTCTAATAACAGCCTACTAATACTCCAATGAAAGTTAGTTGACATGAAGTTGCAAAGTTACTTATAATTAGTAATGCCTAAAGTGGACCATCAAAAATAAAGTTTGTAGAAAAAATGCATTAATTAACCAACTCAAACCACATTGTTCGCTGCATAACCAGAACTTTAATGTCTACAATCTGACTGAAATAAATAAAAGTCACATCCTGAATTCAAGTATTGTTCTTTCAGCTCTCTTGCTAGGATCTGTAGAGCCGTTAAACTGTTCAGAACCAACAACAAAGTCTCTCCTTAATGCCATGAAAGAGGAAGTCATCAGCTACAGCGAGGCAAGGCCGGTTATAAGTCTGAAAACTCCCACCAACGTCAGTGTGGATTTGACTCTTTATGGCATTTTAGGAGTGGTAAGCAAATCTATGGAAGACTACAGCTTTTACTTAAATTATTTTTTTACAAAATTACGACATTACAATAATATTAATTCCACTAAAAATGGTTACATAATCCATATATTTTCCCTTTCAGAATGAAAAATCACAGGTGTTGGAAACTTATCTGTGGGTGAGGACGGTAAGAGTCATGACAAAGACATTGTTTAGCCCCGGTATTAACAGCCGGTTTGCGTGATCCAATCACATGACATTTTACAGTGCTTAATATATCCAAGCCTGTTTTAACTATTGCAAGAGCACTATTTAAACAGCAGTGCTGATAGAATTATTATTTTTTGTAGAGGTGGCAGATTGAAGGTTTGAGCTGGGAACCTGATGAGTGTGGAACAAAAAAGATCTCACTACCAAGAGAGAAGATATGGGTTCCAGACATTGTCATTAACGAATTGTAAGTTGCACAAGTCAAATGTAACACCTTTGACTAGTGACAAGGAAACAAAAACAAAAAAATAATTGCCAAATTCGTATGAATATGTATGATGTGATTTGTATGGAAACGTACGATTTTTAGAAAAAGTAATCATTAAGGTCCAAACCCAACCTAACTGTCACTGGGAAGTATAGCAGATCGTACGAAAACGTACGAATGAGATCATACGAATTCTTATGAATTAGCCAACGATTCTGCAAAATGTAAAATAGTTGCCATGTGAGTGTGTTGGATTGTGCACATGCAAAAAGTAAAATTCTTGGTGGATTTCCCTTTCTATCTTTAACCTGCTATACCCACCATCATATTGCAGCATGGATGAAAACCGAGCACCAGACACATACTACGTCTATGTCACCTCGACTGGTGAAGTTATGGATGGACGGCCGATTCATGTGATCAGCTCATGCAAACTGGACATCTACACCTTTCCATTTGATTTCCAAAACTGCTCATACACTTTCAACTCTTACAAACACTCTCGTAAGTGAGCAAAACTGAAAACTCTATATTCCTTGTTTGGCTACTTATGATTACATTGTACTTGTTGGTCTCGTTCTCTACAGGTGATGATGTTCAGTTGTTCTTCTTTCTGTCAGCGAAGCAGATATTCAAGCAGTCTCTTGAAGCAATGACAACTAAAGGAGAGTGGGAGCTGATTGACTTGCTGACAGAAAAACCTGTACAGCTCTATCTGGAAGGAGGATGGGATAACCTCATTGTTTATGTTGGTGGCATTTTAGAGAGGGGTAATTCACTAAGAAAGAATCACAACAGTGATTTACCGTCATGATTTGGCGTATGTTACTCTGACTATTCAGCATAGCTCCACCACTGTGATCCAGACACCAACAAAAAAAGTTGTAAAGTATGTTTGACTACACTATGACCCTGTCCCAAATGGCACCCTAAATACTCGCGGTCTTCCTATGAGTCCGCACTTTTGTGACGTAATGTCGCTTTGACTGTCGGGAAGAAGTCTGCTGTGGAGCTCGCACCAGTGTGAAAGTGCGAAAAGCAAAAGTGCGTATCGAGGGCGCATATCGAACGGCGACCGCATAGGAGGGTGCTCGTGAGCACCCTTGTGAAACCTAAAATGACTAAATTGGATACCCTACGGTCTTATGGACTTAACGGACATGCGCACATGGCAGCCATTGTAACTCCACAAGACCGAAAGTGCATATGAAATGTGCCATTTGGGATAGGGCCTATGTGTCTAGATATGACCAGTTATAAGGCTCTTCTTCATCATTTGATCATCATTCTTGTACAATTCTAACCATCTAAACCACTAACCATTAGGTGGAAACCGCCTTTGGAGGTCCTGTCCCATCTGGAGTTCCCACCCTCCTTTTGAAGTTTACTAAGTTGTATATGGCACAATCTGTAATGAGCCTAATTTTTACACAAAGCAGGTATATTTACACTAATGGATTACATTTTTGTAGGCAAAAAACCCGGACTTTCGGTTCCATCGCTCTGAAGTCAAAGATTTTTTGAATGGGTTTTTTGGTTAAAGGCCTGAAATAAGGTCTGTGGTGAACACAAGCTCAAGATATTTTCATTCTATTTTACAACATAAAATACATTGGTAATACCCCCTTGAGATTAAAAATAATAATAATCATTTTATTTTCTGACTAAATGGGACAACAGAGGATGTCATGATATCGTCATCACATCAAACAGGTAAACTCATCTACTCAATAGTCCACTTTCACAGCAAAATATTTCAAACTCAATCCTTCAGGGAAAATGTTTTTTTAAATAAAGACTGAAAGAGTTGCCGGAAACTTAATGATAGTTACTTTTGGAGTCATGCGCCTGTGGTGTAGTTCGTTTATATATATAAACATTTAGCTTTTTACTTCTGCTGCTTGCATTTAAGCTTAAAAATTCATAAAAGTTGTGTTCATTTGTGAAGATTATCATGATGAACAAAACGACGGTCACAAATTCTTTATAGCGGAAAAGGTTCTCAAGATTTTTTAAATGTTGTTCAGCTAATGGAAAGCTCCTATTGGTGTTTTGTCGAATGAACCAGAGAGATGCTAAATTCCGGGATGGCCTATAAACATATGTCATCACTTCAGCTCTCTATAGCCCCTTTCGCACTGGGTAGTTATAGGAAGTTAGTTATGGGAACTAGCCACCAGGGCGGTTCCCCGAGAACTAAATGTTCCCCTAGGCCCGTTTTCCTGGTTGCACACCAGTAGAAACTCTGAAGTGACGTAAGCCACGCTTGTTGTTTTTGATATATTTATTTTGACTGCACTGAGAACACCAGAGCACATAGCACTACCATTCTCCGTCTTCATTCGTTTACGATCTGTCTAACAGTCCTATCTAATAAGTTTTTAGATAGAACTGTTATACAAAAAAGTATGAAAAAGTATTAGCATTTGCCATGTGGTTGATGCCCAATGTCGCAAGCTGAGCAGAAATACATAATCATGTTTTTCTTGGTCCCCTCAAAGTTGCGTTCGATTTTTTCCTTCGCGTAAAGGTTGAGAGGTCCATCTATCACTGTTTTCCATGTTCTTAGAGTTAGTTTGTGGAGTAAATATATAGGCTATAATATGTGTGTGCACACTAGGCTTGCCGCGATAGACGGTGTTGACGGTGTTACCGGTTTTAAGCCCCATCACCGGTGACATCACTTTCCCACCGTGACACCGCGATGTCGTGACTTTTTTAAAGTATTCGTTTTTGCTAAAATATTTATTTGAATTAATTAAAAATAATAATTATCAATTATTTAGTTCAGAAGAGAGCATACATTATAATTAAAAACTGAACTGCGCAGTGCGTGCCAAGAGCCAGTTACGTCACAGATCAGCAAGCATCAGGATTCCATTTAGCACGTGTGGAGATGAGAACGAGTCAAATTACAGAAAAGCAAGATAATGGCGGAATGTGTAATTTATTTAGGCCTGTTTTATTTTCTTATTCGTTAATAAACGTTTTATGGTTCTTATTTGTTTGGGCCCACAGTTTGAAGATTTTCAGCCTATGCATGGGGTTATTTTTATTCGTTCGTTATGCTAATAAAAGTTCTGTCTATAAATAAAAGTTTTATTATCAGCGAGCCGAGTTGTTGTTTTTTGTCCATTCAAGCAATTGATGCTGAATTGCCAATTGACGCTTATTTCGAGCGATTTAACCCGCCCCGCCCCGCCCTGCCCCCCACGGTGACACCGGGATTACCGGTGTTGTGACACGTCGATTAACCGGTGGGAAATTTTCCTCACCGCGGCAACCCTAGTGCACACAGCTTTTAAACGGCGGGTGCTGGAATTTCGAGTGCGTTCAACCAATCAGCGTACACTTACGTCACTGATAGTTCCTATTGTGCTGGGTAAGACCCTACTCTGAAGTAGGAGCTAATTTAGTTCCCATAAAAGGCGTTCCTAGAACTAACATTGTTCCCAGTTCCTGCAAACACAAAAAGGGGATATGTTCGCCATTTCTAGGAACTATGAAAAGTTTCCTCCTGTACGTAAGCCCCTTATATCTCTGCTAATAGAACTTGGTTAGATGGTTAGTAAACAAGCCAAAAGTATGATGTCATGCTTGATGTCCAATGCAAAAGGTGAGTCAATGGTACATACAACAAGACTAGTGTTACGAAGCATAGGAGACGTTCAGATCCAAGTGCAGCTTGTCCTTTATTTAACAGAGTAGTCACCAGGCAAGGGTCAAACACCAGCAAACACAGCAGAGAAGATCAGGCAAAATCGTGGTCAGTAAACAGGCAGGATATCAGGGCAGGCAGCAAACAGGAAGGATACAGGAACCAGGCAGAAGATCAGGAACAGACAAGGTCAAAACAGGCAGGAATATACATGGGAAAACGCTTGGAAATGTTCGCAGCAGCAAAACAAGACTTCGCGGTGAGTGAATGAATGAGCATGGTATATATGGACTGAGACTAACAGGATGATGACACACAGGTGAATGCAATCAGAGAATGAGGTACAGGTGATTGTGATCAGTGATGAGTCCGGGCAGTGAGTTATGGGAAATGTAGTCTGTGAGTGAACGTGAGAGTCTGATGTGGAGTCCCCTCTGGTGGCTCTCAAGGGCACTCCAGCTGGTAACCGTTACAACTAGACCCTGACTGAGTGCAAGTGAATAGTGTAAATATTCCAAATGAAATTGTGATGAGCTACAGGTGTGTGTGTTTACAATTCAGGCAAGTGAGAGCGCCCCCCACTCTAGGAGCGGATTCCAGATGCTCCAAAATGTATCCAACAATCCATGAGGGAATGGAGGGAGGGAGGAGCCAGGGAGGATATGACAAAGGAAGGAGCCAGGGAGGAGGCCAGGGAGGAGACCATGGTGGGCAAAGCTAGGAAGGAGATGATAGTTGAAGGAGCCAGGGAGGAGACCATGGTGGGAGGAGCCAGGGAGGAGATGACGGTGGGAGAACCCAGGGAGGATACAATGGTGGGAGGAGCCAGGGAGTCACCTCAAGCCAAAGCTCCAGGAACAAGGCCCACAGCAGAGACATAGTGGAGCCTTGGTGGAGATGCCAGGTAGAACAAGGAGGACGACTGACTGAGGTGGAGCTGGTGAAGGTAGAGACCCAGGTAGATCCGAAGAGAATGGGTGTCACTGAAGGTCCTGGAGACCAAGGCAGAGCCATGGGGACAGGAGGCCAAGTGTTAGAAGTGAAGCAAGAGTGCCGTACGACTGAGGCAGGGCCGGTGCGACTGAGGACTGAGGTGAAGCTGGAGGGAAGGAGGAGCACGGTGGAGCCAAAGGGGTGGAGGGACGAGTTGCAGATGAAGGCCCGGAAGTCCATGGCGAAGGCAGGGTGACTACTGACCAAGGTGGATCCGGAGGGACGAGGAAGTCCTGTTGAGCCATAAGAATGATGGTCCCAGGTAGAGCCGGAGGAGCAAGGAGCCAAAGTGGAGCCGTCAGGACGATGGGCCGAGGTGGAGTGACGGGCTTGGAGGTTAGAGGTAGAGCCAGAGGGTCAACAGGTGGAGTTGGCCAGCAAAGTGAATCCAAGCTGCTAGGTGGAGCTAGCGTAGGAGGAGCTGAAGGCCTGAATGGAGCCAACGGAGACAGGGCAGAAGAACTGGGTAGCACATGCAAAGGGTTATGAGATGGCCTCCTTGGACATGACAGGACAAGCAGAGAGTTCAAAAACAGCCACCTAGGCTGACACAGGACAGGCAGAGAGTTTTGGGATTGCCTCCCGGCCAACACTGTACAGGCAGAGAAGGTGGGATTGGGAAGCAGGGAGAGAGCATCAACGATGAAGAAGACTTGGAGCTGGCCAACATAGGAGACTTGAAACTGACCTGAACCAGTGGAGGACGAAGACATTGGGAACAGAAGGAAACCAGGACATCAATTATTTCTGACTGGGAAACACTGGAACTCTCTAATGCTGGAGGATGATGATGAAAACAATTCACTTCCTCATCCAGTTCCACCAAAATTTCCACAGGCACAGATGTAAGAACTGGCTCACACACCTGATCAGACTGCTTTGGCTCAAGGATGGACAAGGCTGCAGGTACTGGTTTCGTAGAGGGCATCGGCATCAGCTCTGGCTCTGCGTTGGGGAATGGCTCTGTGTAGATGATCAAGGACATCATGACGGGAGGGAGTGGACTGGGAGGACTGCTGCTGAGTAGCAATGTCATCCTCTACTACCTCACCTACAGTAAATGATGAGCCACACATCCACTGCAAAATATCCATATATTGTGCCAGGGTCACGCTGGAATCTCCTACTGGCAACAATAGGCCAATGTTGTTGTCCAGTCCATCCATAAAAAAGTCCATCAGAATATGATCATCCAACGATGTCTGGTGGCAATATTCCAAAAACGTCTCCACCTACTGCTTGAATTTCCCAATCATTCAAGAAAATGGAAGACAGAATTTCCTCTCCCACTGGGTTCATGGTCTTTGGTCTGGCCTTTCTGTAACGACACACCAACACAGAGCAGGGAGAAGAAACCAAGGGAGGTAGTTTATTGAAACAAATGGAGAACAAACAGGTGAGAAATGTGAGGCGAGTATGCAGGTACATTAATAGTGAGTCCATGTAACAGTTCAAGTCCAAATGAGATGGTGATTAGCTGCAGGTGTGTATGATTACAACTCATGCAAGTGTTCAGAATGTGCTGTGACAATAAGCAGGTTCATGTTCATTGTGCCAGAAACTGAATGCATTATTTGGTGGGACCACTCTAGTTGAAGAAGAGGATGGAAAATGTCAGAAATAAAATAAAATTAATAAAATAAAACCAACAGAAGATAAAGTTGAAAACAACAAAAAGGGATATACAATACAAGGAGGTTAGACAACTTCTTAGTGAATTCACCCCTAAGTGTTATGTTTGCTACTATGAAAAGAAGTGTATACTTGGGAACACTTGATACTAATATTTTCCCTCACTGTTGTGGACTAGATTGTCTTGAGACGTCGAGCTACACTGTATGTGGTGAACCTCCTGATTCCCAGCAGCCTTCTCCTTTCTTTGGATCTCTTCAGCTTCCTCCTGCCTCTTCAAAGTGTGGACCGTGCTTCCTTCAAAATGACACTCATCCTGGGTTACACCGTCTTCCTGCTGCTAATGAATGACCTGCTGCCTGTCACAGGAAACAACTTACCTCTTATCAGTATGTTCTCAAACCTTCTTATTCTATTATGTATCTTTTCATCTTTACCCTGCTAAAAAGGCAAAATGGTCACTAGCATATGTTGATGGTTTCCAGCATGGGATTCTGATGCAACCTACCCAATAAGAGTTTTTTGGTAAACCAAAGGGGTCAAAGTTTGGCTGGTTAGCAAGGCCCAGTTAGTGCTGGTATATGTCATAACAACCATCTGGGAATACATTTCTCCATTGACGACCATCCTTGAGATGAATGGAAATGCTAACAGCTAGCTTTTTCAAGGTATTAAAGACCTTGAGTTGGCCAGTTTAATCATGAAGATTGTTCTCGCTAATCAGCTCAAAACTGAAAGTATAATTTGTTTTGTTTTTTACACACAGTTGAATGCATAGCCTTTCAAGGTATACTACATTTGACGTTTACACATACAAAGGAGGTCAACGCATGTGCATTAACAACAACTTGCACTCTGTCTGCAGAATGCTTCATCCTTTTCATTCCTCCAATTTCTCACCATGAGTTATAACCCCTATAAACTTATTGTTAATCTTTTAGATAGAGTTGTACAAATATGGGTACTTTCTGACCTCTTTGGTGTGTCTATTTTATTCCTCATTCTTTGACTATATTATGAATTACCAGTTACCACCTTGTGGACAAATGAATTAGAGCAAAAAAAATGCAACCTACGCAAATAGAGTATGGTTGGTTAGAAAAATCGGGCAGCAGGCATAATGTTTGCGTGTACAAATAAAAAATTAAAGTATACTTTGGGTTTAAGTTTTTCATGTCTAGCTTCTGGCATAAAACAGCCTGGGCTACGTTTCTCAAAAGCATCGTAGACCATCAATTGTACAAATGGTCTCTACGGTCTACTGTACTTACGCTTACGAGGCATTTAAAAAACACAGCCCAGGACTCTTTCAGAAGCAGGAAATCCTTCTTCACCTCCAGCCTAATCTGATCTGATCTTTCTCTCTCGATCTAGATGTGTTTTTCTCTCTCTGCATGGCCTTGATGGTAGCAAGTCTACTTGAGACTGTCATCATCACCAATATCTTGTGTGGTTCCCGTGACTTTCCTCCCTTACCTAAGTGGCTCAGGATTCTGGTCCTGAAATATCTGGCTCAGCTTGCTTGTATGAAGAAATCTTGTGAAGAAAACTGTGATGGTAAGCAGATACTTTCATCTTCCCGGATGCTCTTACACTAGAGCAGAAGTTTTCGAAGTGTGGGGCACGACTCCCCTGACACGTTCTCGAAAGTTTTCAGTCCAAGGATCCAGTAAGCCGAATGCATTCAAACAGTCAGTCCAAAACATCCCCAATCCAGAGAAAACCCTCTCTTACCTATTCTGTAATTGTTTCAGAGCATCCTAGGCTGTTTCTCATGGTGCTGTAAATATAGACTGAACGGTGGTTCAAAACACCCAACCGCTGCATGAGCATAATGATACTCAAACTACAGCTCTCGGTTGGATAAAGCAAACCAGTGTTGCACTAGTAAAGTTTTGATGGATGACGATTGTAATCAAGGTAAAGACGATTACAGTGACATACAGGAGTCATGCATTAGGCACACGAGACGAGAGTCCGTTATTATTGATGCGCAAAACAGACCATGTGTGTGCGGTGCTCTCGGCGCACAGATCGCTATTGAATATTGGTCATAATTGGGGGTTGGGGAGGAGGCGCCATTGTGTACGTTGTGTCAAAAGGGAGGCCCACTTTCTTTGACTTTGAAAACCCCTGCACTAGAGTTATTTGTGCGAACTTTATGTCAGAGTTCATATCATTGGTGTAAAAGAGGTTCTTCCAATGGTGCTCTTGTTTCTTGTCTACAGCAAACAGATCTAAGAACACTTTCTACAAAAACACCATGACTGATATTCCAAACAAAGGACAAGTTAGTGCAAGTCCAGTGAGTGTCTGGGAACAATGTCTAGAGGAAATGAAGAAGATGAGTAAAGATTTATTGGCCATCCGCCACCAAATTGAAGAGCACTTTAGTAATGACAACAGCACCAATGAATGGTTCATGTTTGGTCAGGTCATTGACCGTGTGCTCTTTATACTGTATACTATCTTTATCGTTGTGAGTTTAAGCACAATTATGGTTCTGTGGTTGCACTCGTACAGTCTAGACAAAAAGTCGTAGTATATTATTGCCTGCTCTGTGAACTGAAGACACCACATGTATGATGAGGTCAATGGAGCCCAGATTTATTCCTGATTTAATGCAAGGGATCATCAACAAAATACTCTTTATAGGAGCTTTAAGTGTCCCAATACTTTATGATTTCATAGAATTATGTGACTTTTTTTTTTGCTCTAGAATTTGAATATATATATAAAAACTTAGTAAATTAAAACTGAATATGACTGAAATCTGTAAACTGAATCTGACGTTCTGTTTTATCTGTATCACCAAAACGTTTTATTATTTTTTGGTAAAGGATGAATAGCAATTTCAACTTTAGTCACTGTCCAGTTAAGTTTGAGGAAAAAATTATAATAAAAATATCAAAAATATCCTGGTTTTCTGGTTGTTTTCTCAGTGTTTTTGAAGATATTTTAATACATCTTTTTATTATTAATTATGGTAAATGATGAATATGCAATAATAAAGCATAAAAAAATATATAATAATAAATATTATATGTTAGGTGCCATACAAACAAGGCCAGTCTGTGGATTTCAAGGTGGGATCGTGAAAATATAAAACTAGTCATGGCAAAGACTATTAAAAAAACCCTGCAAAATTAGATTTAATAAAGAAAGAGTGGCAACATCTTGAAGAACCATAACAACTCTTGCGTGAATCCGGTGTTCTTTATTCTAATTAAATGTGTGACATTGCACATGTTTTTTTCTTCTAATGGAAAAACAAGATAGATCACTAATGAATTCAACCAAATGGATCCAAAGCAATTAAAACAAGCTAGGTCAGTGGTTACCGAAGGTGTTAAACAACATGTAACCGCACATGATGTTTCAGTAAAGAGTCCGCACACTTCACCTGTGGAAGTAAGCGGTGTGTTTAAACTTGAGCAGTTTTAAACAATAGGAAATCTCATCTACACTCAGCATTATGGGACATCTTTGGCGTTTTCTTTTGTCATGTTTCATTCTACTTACAGGTAATGAATTGAACTTTTATGTGGAGCACATTAATACTTTTGGTCAGTTTTGAAGTAAACTTAAAAACAATAATGAAATATCTTGATAATGATCAAGAATTACCTTTTATTCAGAATCAATTGTCTTTTTAAAAAAATAAAATAAATGAACAAATATTTTAAAAGCAATTCGTTTTGCTGGCTTCTAGAAGATGTGTGAAATTTCGTTGTTGTTTTACTGTTTATTCATAAAATTATAATTTCTTCACAAAAAGGGTTTTGTACAGTAATTACTTACAACTTCTATACAGCATCTTAATTCTGCTGTCATTGTGAATTTATTTTGCTTACAAGATAAGATTAGATAACATGGACTAAAATGAAAATAATAATTTACGGTTGAAAGTTAAATATGCTAAAAATATCCATCAGGGATGATCAAACTAGATAAAATATACACTTCGAAATGTTGGAAAGCAATTGCCTTAAAAGTGGCAGAATTCTTTATACACTGTAAATAAGTTGTAAATAAAACAAATATTATATGAGTATGTTTTACAGAAAAATAATATTTCAGTCTTTCTCTTTTAAAATTTCATGTTTAATTCAGTTCATTGTGAAATTAAGTTCTGAGTGTAAATTGTTTCTACGCCATATTTTTCAGTGTGCAACTGTTTACAAAAATACTGAATAGTGTACAACATTTTGCATCTGCATTGCATCTGCATTTGTATTTGCATCTGACAGTAAAAAGTGCTGATAAATGTGAAAATGGCCATCAGATGAAGGTAGACTAAGTTAGTTTCCCTGGTTGATTGTGTCATTAAGTGTTGCAGTGTCTGGTGAATATGCTTCGGTGTGAAGACGGACAAAGTGGACCCACGTATGAATCTCTACAGCAAGTCATTGACAAGAAGTCCTTCAGACCTTCAGTCAACCTCAGCACCCCCACTATCACCAACATCTCCTTCACTCTCTACGCTATCTTGGGAGTTGTGAGTCAATGCGGGACTGGCTATATGTGTCTGGTTGTGTAAATTATCCTCGTGTCTGAACATTCGATGGCTTTTTCTGTTTTGCAGAATGAAAAAGCACAAATTCTTACCACATTCCTCTGGCTCAGGCTGGTAAGTTTGGTGCATAAAGAGATGTTTGAATAATCGCCTGAATATTACACAATCCTGTTATTTAATCATGTTTGGTTTTAGTACTGGTTCCATGAGTTCCTCATTTGGGATCCAGAACCCTGTGATGGCATTACGAAGATCTCTCTTCCTGTCAAAGATCTCTGGACTCCTGACATTATCGTGTATGAGTTGTAAGTGCCATCTAGTGGGAAGGATCGGGACATTCTTTTTATTTTTATTTTATTGCTCAAAAAAATCCCCACAAATTAATTCAGAATTCAGTGCAAATTCCTAATATTCGTCGTCATCCATGTTGTATATACCGAGCAAACAGGAAGCGTTCTCATAACGTTCTGGCAAGGTTCTCTCAAAATAATGAACAAATGTTCTTCTAGTAGCCTAACATTTATAGAATGTAGAATAGAATAGCATAGAATAGAAGTTATTTGGTCTTTAATAATGTTCTCAAAACGTTAAGAGAAATTCATTATTTATACATCGTCATGGAACGAATTTCTGAAACATTATTTAAATGTTACTACGTGTTTCATAATTCAAAAGCAATTAACGTTCTAATAATGTTTGCAAAATGATAAGATGGAATGTTTCCTTAACGTTTGTATAACCAAGAAAAAATATATATTTTTGAGTGTTGAGAGAACATTCAGATATAACGTTTTGACAACTTAATGGGAGCATTAGCAAAGTGTTCTTCGAACATATTTTTTGTTTGCTGGGATAAAGGCCCATCTGGGTAAAGGCCCATTCACACAAAGAACGATAACAATAAATATAAAGTTTTAATAAATCAAGATAGTATCACTCGTGGCCTCAAGATAGTATTTCGTGGCCTGAAGATAGTAACTCGTGGCCTCAAGATAGTAACTCGTGGCCTCAAGATAGTATCTCGTGGCTCAAGATAGTAACTCGTGGCCTCAAGATAGTAACTTGTGGCCTCAAGATAGTAACTCGTGGCCTCAAGATAGTATTTCGTGGCCTCAAGATAGTATTTCGTGGCCTCAAGATAGTATCTCGTGGCCTCAAGATAGTAACTCGTGGCCTCAAGATAGTAACTCGTGGCCTCAAGATAGTATCTCGTGGCCTCAAGATAGTAACTCGTGGCCTCAAGATAGTAACTCGTGGCCTCAAGATAGTATTTCGTGGCCTCAAGATAGTATCTCGTGGCCTCAAGATAGTAACTCGTGGCCTCAAGATAGTAACTCGTGGCCTCAAGATAGTATTTCGTGGCCTCAAGATAGTATCTCGTGGCCTCAAGATAGTATTTCGTGGCCTCAAGATAGTAACTCTCGTGGCCTCAAGATAGTAACTCTCGTGGCCTCAAGATAGTAACTCGTGGCTTCAAGATAGTATTTCGTGGCCTCAAGATAGTAACTCTCGTGGCCTCAAGATAGTAACTCTCGTGGCCTCAAGATAGTAACTCTCGTGGCCTCAAGATAGTAACTCTAGTGGCCTCAAGATAGTAACTCTCGTGGCCTCAAGATAGTAACTCTCGTGGCCTCAAGATAGTAACTCTCGTGGCCTCAAGATAGTAACTCTAGTGGCCTCAAGATAGTAACTCTCGTGGCCTCAAGATAGTAACTCTCGTGGCCTCAAGATAGTAACTCGTGGCCTCAAGATAGTATTTCGTGGCCTCAAGATAGTAACTCGTGGCCTCAAGATAGTAACTCTCGTGGCCTCAAGATAGTAACTCTCGTGGCCTCAAGATATTAACTCTCGTGGCCTCAAGATAGTAACTCTCGTGGCCTCAAGATAGTAACTCTCATGGCCTCAAGATAGTAACTCTCGTGGCCTCAAGATAGTAACTCTCGTGGCCTCAAGATAGTAACTCGTGGCCTCAAGATAGTAACTCTCGTGGCCTCAAGATAGTATTTCGTGGCCTCAAGATAGTAACTCTCATGGCCTCAAGATAGTATTTCGTGGCCTCGAGATAGTAACTCTCGTGGCCTCAAGATAGTAACTCGTGGCCTCAAGATAGTATTTCGTGGCCTCGAGATAGTAACTCTCATGGCCTCAAGATAGTATTTCGTGGCCTCAAGATAGTAACTCTCATGGCCTCAAGATAGTATTTCGTGGCCTCAAGATAGTAACTCTCATGGCCTCAAGATAGTATTTCGTGGCCTCAAGATAGTAACTCTCATGGCCTCAAGATAGTATTTCGTGGCCTCAAGATAGTAACTCTCATGGCCTCAAGATAGTATTTCGTGGCCTCGAGATAGTAACTCTCATGGCCTCAAGATAGTATTTCGTGGCCTCAAGATAGTAACTCTCGTGGCCTCAAGATAGTAACTCGTGGCCTCAAGATAGTAAATTGTGGCCTCAAGATAGTAACTCTCATGGCCTCAAGATAGTATTTCGTGGCCTCAAGATAGTATTTCGTGGCCTCAAGATAGTAACTCTCGTGGCCTCAAAATTTTTAATGCAAATATGAAGGAGGTTTTATGCATGTTTGTGACAACTGTCATTATGTGTCATTCGGTCAGTTATGACATTTTTAATGCAAATATGACATTGTTTGAGATGTCTTTGTTATGACACCTTGACATAAACCAATACATCATAACCTGTCAGTGTCTTTGTCATGACAACTTGACATTACTAAGACAACACAACCTGTCATAAATATGACATAGCAGATTAATTATCAAACTTAAGAAACTACTTAGTTTTATGGGTTAACATTACATTAAACTGTCAGGTGGTTGGTTTTGACATTGGCTGTCATGAAGCCATTATAACTGTTTAATGACAAATTCAATTTGTACCACTGTAGTTGAGGTCACGAAAAATATTCATGACACAGTTATAACGGACTCATGACAGCCAATATCAAAACCAACCACATGACAGTTTAACTTAATTTAATGTCAAGTTGTCATGACAAAGACACTGACAGGTTATGATGTTATGGTTTATGTCAAGATGTCATAACAAAGACATCTTAAACAATGTCATATTTGCATTCAAAATGTCATTATTGAGCAAAAGACACTTAATGACAGTTGACATATGTCATGTCATGGTTATGAAGGTGTCATGTCAGTCTTATGCACACCCCTTCAAGTAAAGTGTTACCATTATCTGTAATATTTTTGCAGTGTTCATCTTGTATTTAGGCCAATTCTGTAAATGGACGTCTTAGCAGAAGATAATAATATAGGCTACAAGTGAATTATAAAATAATTGCAACTGAATATTTGTCCTCTCTCTCTTCTGGTGTTTAGTGTGGATGACGATGTATCTCAGGCCTGTCCTTATGTGTATGTGAACCACACGGGCCTCATCCGCTATGACAGGATGTTGAGGCTGGTTAGCGCCTGTAACCTTGAGATCTTCAGCTTCCCTTTCGACATACAGAACTGCTCTTTCACCTTCGGCTCCTACATGCATACCAGTAACGTCACCGCTTCCATTGCTCTCCACATTTCCTGCCATCTCAGCGCATATTTGCCTTAGAGGCGTTTCCTTTCGTGTGTTTCTGAGGCCTGTGAAGGTCCACGTAACCTGTCTTAGTTTATGTGGACTTTCACATGTAATGTAATTTTGCATTTATGGTCTGCAATTCAGACTGAATAACTCACAATTGTGTTTATATTCACGTTTCAGACTAAATAACTCACCATTGTGAGTTTATATCGCACAATTTAGACCATAACTCACAATTGTGAGTTTTTTATCTCGCAATTCTGACTTTATAACTCACAATTGTTTATCTCATGATTCAGACTAAATAACTCCCAATTTTGAGTTTATATCTCACGATGTGGACTTTATAACTCCCAATTGTGAGTTTATATCCCAATTCTGACTTTTTTCTCAGAACAGTGAGATATAAACCCGCAATTCTGAGTCATAAAATCTGTAACAAATTATTACAATTCAACAACTAATTTAGCTGATTGGGCAAAGCAGGGTTCCTGAATGTGTCATTAACTGTAATTCTAATACCTGTCATACCTGTTACCCCTTCAGTAAAGGATGTGCGTGTCGGTCCTGCCCTGTCCTTTACGGAGATGACCGAAAACTCACAGCGATACCTGCAGGCCAGTGGAGAATGGGAGCTGGTGGTTATACTGGGTGACTCAAACATTTTGAATTTTGGAATAGACGAATGGGACATCATCACTTTCTGGGTAAGAAAGGGACAAAAGCAGGGGGTATAAATGGCAGAAAAGCATGGTACTCAATTTATCCAGTACATTTTCACAACCAAATGATATTTGCCAAATTATCCTTCTTATTTTGCAGCATAGAAGTAAGTTATTTTTTGTGTGAGACTTCTGATTCGTTATCTGCTATAGGTAAATAACTAGAATAACAAAGTGTAGTAAATGGTAACACTATTTTCACTACAAACCGCTGCTTATACACTCCAATTCGCTCGCAGACCCCCCCACTTCAGGGGTGTAATATACAATTCGATCTCGGACACTAATTCTCAGGTCCTCCATACTGAAATACAGGTTCTGCTATTAAGGGGCACAATAGAAAAGGTTCCCGCAGCCCACAGCGAGTCAGGCTTTTACAGCCGCTACATCCAGGCCTATTCTCGATTTGAGATCTCTGAACCGCGCTCTAATAAGACGGGCTGTTCAGGATGCTAACCTTGAAACACATCCTCTCGCAGATATGCCCAGGGGTTTAGTTTATATCGGTGGATCTGAAGGAGGCATATTTCACATCCAGATAGCCCCCCATCACAGACCGTTCTAGAGATTCACATTCGAGTGGGTGGCTTATCAATATACAGTCCTGCCATTCGGACTGTCGCTGACCCCACACACTTTTACAAAATGCGTGGATGCGGCTCTCTCCCCACTGAAACAGTCCTGAATTACCTCGACGATTGGCTGCTCTTAGCCCAATCGAAGGAGCTGTGCATTCACGGATCTCTGCTCCTCAACCACTTAGCAAAAGCTTGTGGTCACCCAGCAAACTCATTGCATTCCTGGGGACAGTACTCGACTCATCCAACATGCAGGCTTGGATCTCACCGGATCGCTCCCTGAAAATTCAGCAGCTAGCGACGGCTTTCAAACCAGGGAGCACAGGACAATCTCCGCTCGATATGAGCTCTGCATGTCCCAGGCTCCATGAACAGGAGAGTAGATATCGTGCCTCCAGGGAAATGGAGACTCAACCCCCTGGCGGTCTGCATGATTTGGAGCATTTTCGGACAGGCATAAGTGGCTCTTTAGACTCACTGACCCACAGTTGGCCTCCTCTGCGCCTCTATGCCTTCCCGCTGGTAGCACTGCACCCTCAGGTCATCAGCCAAATCAGGGAGGACAGATGCTCTGTCTTTCTTGTGGCGCCACTCTGGCAGAACCAGCCGTGGTTCCCGGAAATGGTCCAGCTGCTGTCTGCAGCACCGTGGCTGATCCCTCTGAGAAGGGACCTCCTTTCCCAAGCGAAAGGGTCGATCTGGCACCCCCAGCCCGAGCTGTGGAGGCTTCACCTATGGCCTCTCGACGGGAGCCTTCAAGCCTCCCTCGGAGGGTTATGAACACGATCTCTAAGGCTAGGGCACCTTCGAGAAAATCTGACTAGATAGCCGTTCAGTGCGACTTATATATGCAGTCGGCCCCAACCATCTTGGTGGGCTGAAAGGCTATTTGTCTGTGAAATTCACAGATGTGAACCAATCAGTCTTCAGTATTCTGAGAAAACAGTTTCTACATAGCGATCAGAAAAGATTCTCTGACGTAATGCTTGTTCCCGTTATAGGGAGCCGAGATTACGTGAGTAACCGAAGCGTTTTTTTGTTATGTTATGACTTAAAGGTGGGGTATGTGATTTTCTTTTTTGACCATTTTTTCAAAATCACTTGAAATCCTATTCCTAACCCACTTACAGCCACTGAGTTAGAAGCACTGAAATGAAAATTAAGCAATTTAATCATCTGTGGAATGGGCAGGACTCGAAAAACTCCAGCCAATCATTTCCAAGACCACCTAGAATCATTGGACTGTAAGTGCGTCAATCAAACGGTCATACCATACCCCCCTCCTCGCGAGGGTGTCCCGTTCGTGCGCATACTCAAAGCTCGTGACCCAGTCACAGTAAGTGCAAGTCGCCCCGGTACAGAGAGAGAGAGAAAGTGCAATCTCGCGCATCTGAGTTTTGCAGATGCATGATTGCGCATCCATGCTCTTCGAATGGGTGGAGTCAGGGCCAGCGTTGGAGGAAGGTAGGACCTTTTGAGTTGTGTATTTTCCAAATCTGCCGGCCGTTTTGCAAATCCCATACCCTACCTTTAAGAAATTAAGAATTACTTCCTATGTCTTATTAAAGGTTCTCTAAGCGATCCTGGGTGACGTCACTTCTTGTTGACGTTCGAACTATTGTCAAACAAAACGGAGGCTAGCTAGACCCCCCCTCCTCCGCATCTCGTCTTCTCCCCCTCCCTTCCGTAACAATCATTCACATAAATTGTCGCCCTACTATTAATTTGATTGATCATTTACAATACATATTGATCGCTAGCTGCTACAAACATATGTTGTATTCACCAAAGTTTACGCTGACAACATAGTTCTAGCTAATTACACTCACCGGCCACTTTATTAGGTACCCCATGCTAGTAACGGGTTGGACCCCCTTTTGCCTTCAGAACTGCCTCAATTCTTCGTGGCATAGATTCAACAAGGTGCTGGAAGCATTCCTCAGGGAGTTTGGTCCATATTGACATGATGGCATCACACAGTTGCCGCAGATTTGTCGGCTGCACATCCATGATGCGAATCTCCCGTTCCACCACATCCCAAAGATGCTCTATTGGGTTGAGATCTGGTGACTGTGGAGGCCATTTTAGTACAGTGAACTCATTGTCATGTTCAAGAAACCAATTTGAAATGATTAGAGCTTTGTGACATGGTGGAAGTAGCCATCAGAGGATGGGTACATGGTGGCCATAAAGGGATGGACATGGTCAGAAACAATGCTCAGGTAGGCCGTGGCATTTAAACGATGCCCAATTGGCACTAAGGGGCCTAAAGTGTGCCAGGAAAACATCCCCCACACCATTACACCACCACCACCAGCCTGCACAGTGGTAACAAGGCATGATGGTTCCATGTTCTCATTCTGTTTACGCCAAATTCTGACTCTAACATCTGAATGTCTCAACAGAAATCGAGACTCATCAGACCAGGCAACATTTTTCCAGTCTTCAACTGTTCAATTTTGGTGAGCTCTTGCAAATTGTAGCCTCTTTTTCCTATTTGTAGTGGAGATGAGTGGTACCCGGTGGGGTCTTCTGCTGTTGTAGCCCATCCGCCTCAAGGTTGTGCGTGTTGTGGCTTCACAAATGCTTTGCTGCATACCTCGGTTGTAACGAGTGGTTATTTCAGTCACTGTTGCCCTTCTATCAGCTCGAACCAGTCTGGCCATTCTCCTCTGACCTCTGGCATCAACAAGGCATTTCCGCCCACAGAACTGCCGCTCACTGGATGTTTTTTCTTTTTCGGACCATTCTCTGTAAACCCTAGAGATGGTTGTGCGTGAAAATCCCAGTAGATTAGCAGTTTCTGAAATACTCAGACCAGCCCTTCTGGCACCAACAATCATGCCACGTTCAAAGTCACTCAAATCACCTTTCTTCCCCATACTGATGCTCGGTTTGAACTGCAGGAGATTGTCTTGACCATGTCTACATGCACTGAGTTGCCGCCATGTGATTGGCTGCTTAGAAATTAAGTGTTAACGAGCAGTTGGACAGGTGTACCTAATAAAGTGGCCGGTGAGTGTATATCCTTGTGTGGGTTTGGCAAACATAACCGTCAATTTAGAACAAAAAAAAAGAATTTAACGTTACCCACCTGTCCAGCAAAAACAGAGCAACCTGAATGTCGGACTGGAAGCCCTTCTGCCGGCGGAGTTCTCGCCATCTTTCGAATGCTTTACCGATGTAAATTCGGTACTTCGCGCGTACTTTTTCCTTTGGTCGTTTGTCGGCCATTATTCAAACTTCCCTCTTGATGCTTCTCTCTCCTTTATACACCCCCTTCATGTGCACGCGCACTAACACCCCAGACCCACCCTCAAATACTTCATGCCAGGGATTGACTGGAACACTGTTTGTTACGTTTCGTGGAGCGGGTCGCCGCAGTTTGTTTTTGTTGCCGTTTGTGGAGCCTGTGGTGTCTACAGAGACCACGTTTTTTACAGTGTGTTCAGGGGACAGGCAGCTAGCGGATAGTGAGGAGATGTTTGCTGTATGTGAATAAAAACAGTTTTGGCCTAAAAAACGCGTGACATCGCTTAGAGCACCTTTAATTGGTTTCCTCATTTCAGTTAAATACTTGCCATGTTTTTGTACTAATTTGTTTAGTCATTTTAATTTAGTTACATTGTGGCCACGGCTTAACTAAAATCAGGGACTGAATTATTAAGTTGTGGAACCAAATTCTTAATGAATGGCCACAATTATTTTTTTTTCACTTTGCATATTTTCGATTAATAATTTGTTCCCAAAACGTATTAATTTGTATTTCATTGTACTAATTCCTTCCATGATTTAAAGGGAAAAAATAAACGGCTATGAAATGTGTGTCAGTCCACATCTTAAGGCCCGCTCACACCAAGAATGATAGCTATATTGATACAATTTTAAAAAAAATCATTCTAAAGTTAAAAGAGTAGCAGTCCCCACACCAACTGTAACCTTAACGACACAGAGGAACAATATCGTTGAAATCACTTTCAGAATGTTACTTTTCCAGATGATGAACAATAAAAACATTGACAGCCAATCAGAATCCATCACGTTTATTATAAATGTGCGTTGGTGTGGACGCTAATACAGTTACCATTCATGGTGTGAACGGACCTTTACTGTTTCTATCCTGCAGGTGGTGATAAAGCGACGGCCGATTCTGTACGTGGTGAACCTGATCATCCCCAGCTCCTTCCTCATGATCATTGACATCCTGTCCTTCTACTTGCCGCCGCACAGCGTGGATCGATCCTCCTTCAAAATGACCCTCATTCTGGGCTATACGGTGTTTCTTCTCATTATGAACGACCTGCTTCCCAGCACTGCTAATGGAACACCTTTAATAGGTCAATTAGCCAAAACACACCTGTGTGAGGCAATGTGTGAATGTCAAATGACGAACTTTGATCGATTACACCCTGGAGAGTAAAGTAGGCTGCTTTATTAAGACTCTACTTAAAGGAGCAGGTCATCTAAAAATGTAATTTGGTTATTAACTCACCCTCATGCTGGTAATTCAATCAATCTGGATTACTTCGTAGCCATGCAAAGACTATTTTCATGGGTATATTTAAATCGTAAGGAGTGTAACAAGCAACATAATCCCAGCAACATTGAATGTAGAAAGTTCGTCAGACTTCCATTTTCAAAGTAAATGATTAGCATTAGCAATGTTAGTATATTCCAGAGCGCTTGGAATGAGTGTTAACCAATTAAAATCAAGAATTTACTTATGTGGTATAATGTAAACACGCGTCAATCTCTAAAATTTGGTTTCACCTCTTTAGGTATCTATTTCTCCGTGTGTTTGGCATTCATGGTCATAAGTCTACTGGAGACGGTCCTCATTACCTGCGTTCTCCACCATAATTCAATGAGGTACAGGGAGGTGCCGCACTGGGTACAGGTGCTGGTGATGCACTTCATTGCTCGGCTTATTTGCTACAGTTTCCCTGAAGACCCTTTAGCCAAACTAGAGGAGAAACAAGCCACCAACCCAACGCCCAGTCGACAGACAGCCACTAATGGTGAGACGCCCCAGCCATTTGAAATTTGCTAGCTATGTTTCCATCCAAAGTTGCGAATTTAACTTGTGCGCAGAATTTAAACATGGCATAAAACATTTTGGCAATAAAGCACCGTTTCCATTCCATGTGTTCAAGAGAACAAAATCATCACTTCCTGGGAAATTGGCGCAAAATATTTGTGATAAACATGGAAGTTCCTGCAGTCGGGGAAGCCAATGTGGCTCTTTTTTCATACATCACAAATGACTTGCGTCTATGGGTGTGTTCACACTTATAGTTCGGTTAGTTTGGTCTGGACCAAAACAATTAAATTAAATTAAATTTAGTCCTGGTCTGCTTAGCGTTCAGATTGGCATTTTAACACTAAACCTAAAGATTAAAGGCATAAGGATACGTTCACAACCTGATTGGTCGGCTTTTATTACGTATCGCGACGGACCTTACCGATCACCCAAAACAATGCTGTGTTCAGGGCTAAATGCGCTCATTGTATGTGTGTAGCTACATTATATGATGGTATTTTGACCAGCTGAAGAGCTTATAAAATGTGTAAAGGAGTCAAAACATTCACACTTATTCAAATGAACCACACTAACAGAGCAATCGCACCAGTTTGTTTTAATCCAACCAAACATGCCAAGTGTGAGCACACTCTAAGAGCACGTACATGAATCGCAATAAAAACTGTCGTGTCTGCGTTCGGACGCGGATGCTGGTGTTTGGGAACACAATCGTGCGATACGGTTCTGAGAGGTCATCCATCATCATTTCAGAACGACCAAACCAACATTTGAGATGCTGTGCGATGAAATCAGTCCGCTGGTTAGTCCAGTAGATCCGGTCAGATGCTCTGTTGAGGCAAAGTCACATTACTTTTTATGTAGCGCATCGAGGGATTTATTCGTTAAATGTGTTTCCATTGTAATTTATGCGGACGTCTTCTTATCGGATAAAAAAAATGATCAGCCCCCATTGAGGATCTTGGCGTCTCCATCCAGCATTTTTACATGTGATAGCCCAAAAGTTGCATAAAAAGAGGTGGATGGAAACAGATAATGTAGAGCATACTAACTTTCAGATGTTAAACGTTTGCTTTTTTTGTCCCCTAGCTTCTGGAAGCATGACACTGGATGTGCCTGAACTCAGACAGATCAGTAAGGATCTTAGCGAGATGAACTCTTATTTGACCATTCTCCGAAAGGAAGACCATCTACAGAACCAGTGGTGCCACGTGGGATACATCCTGGACTTCCTTCTCTTCCGCATTTACCTGCTGATAATCACAGGCTATGCACTTGTGATCATATGCATGTGGTGCATTTGGATGAAGCAATAGAAAAAGTACAGACTTAAGAGCATGTTTTCCCTTAGAGCATGTGATCACGTAGAGACAACAACACAGTAATGACTCAAAAACAGTCTAAACATCTTTAATTGTCATTAACATGTATAACAATAAGAAATTATATATGTACATTTTTCAAAGTGTGCATCAAAAGCCCCTGAATAAAAAAAAGGCAATTCAGTAATTTTACAAGAGTAAGCTCAAGTGGAGACATCATCAGCAGGATCAAATGAAAAATTATAAACTTAATATTATAGCTTATAAGCAACCATACAAAAGCAAGTTTGTTCATTCATTCAATCTCATAAATGTAAGGTCAGTGCATTCAAGTCATGTAATGCTTGTGGCAAAGTAGCACATGGTTGTTATTGCTTCAGATATACTCAAATAGGGTCTATATTACTTCATTAACTGCTCCAACTAATGATGTAGTGAATTATAATACGACTTACCAATGCAATAAACTCTTTTAATCAAATAACACTTTGGTACAACTGTCTTTTTTGCATGAGCAGCTTCACTGGACAACCACGCTTTAAGACCATTCGAGATTTTGGACTGAATGTGAGATGTTGGATGATGTTCCAGTTTAAACGTTAATACAGTTCTTGTTCAAACAAACAAACATCAATCAAACTAGTGCAAATTAAAGATCCAACAAGACAAGAGTTGTTTAACACAGGACAGGAAATCAATACAAACAAAGTGCCATTTTTGGTAGGTGCAAAGTGTGTTAAAGCAAAAGGCCTTTAAATGAATACATAAAGACCAGTGTTCGACCTCATTTGTGAAATGAGCTGAATAAATTTCAGTTTATACGGTTTGTAAAAGCATTCACGCATCCAGTTTTACAAGAGAACAAGAAGCTTCTGAGATATCGCTCATAAAACCAAAATCATTTTGGAAGAACGGGTTCCTAGTTAGAGGGCAAAGGAAATTTCTGTCTGAGTTTTTCTAACAAGCAGAACAAATTTATATAAATTCATTGTAAAAATTGCGCAAAAGACAGACTTAACGCATACGAGCAGAAGAAATTTCCGGCGAAAATATTTGGGGGAAAACCGAAAACAACTTCCAGGAATGGATTTGTGAAAAGAAAAAAAACTGTCTAAATGACTCGCAAAACTAAAACGGTCAATGGAGGAATGATTTTAATGCGCAAGCAAATTGAACTCGTGTAAATCGTTCATAAAACCAAAAGACTTTAGTAAGGGATTAAAACGAAAGAGCAAAATGAGGAATTTACAGAACCAAAAAATAAAAATGTAAGCAAGAAAAGTGGAAAAGTGGCTAAAATATTTTGCGAAACCAAAACAACTTCCGCAAGAATGGTTTCTGGCTAAAATGTGCGCAACATTCGAATTTATGCAGAAATGGTTTTACGAACAAATTGCTAAATGGAGTTCTTGTGCAAAATTCTGCAAAAAATCATTCTTGTATAAAAAGTTGTCTTCAGTTCAATACAACAATTTCAATCGTTTACGCAAAAATTGGTTTCACTTTTATTTGGTCCATTGTTGTATTCAGATGAATGTTTCCGATAACACAAACTCATTTCACGCATGAGGCCTATTGTCTTATAGCTTTGATCTTCAACACAGTAAGTTTGAACCTGACACTTCTAGAAACCTCTCGGGAAAACAAAGGTTGTGCAAGACTCGCTGGAGTTCAGCTGCCCGTCCCCGTCTCTCATCGTTACAAACCAGCGGCCATTAATGAGGCACGCCACAGGAGACATGAATAAATAGAACCAACAAAACGCGGACACATAAAAAAACAAAACACATAAAGGTTACGACCCAGGACTCGACACCCTGTTGATTAAAACGAATGTGATTTTAAAGGGCGGAGGCGACAGAAGCAAACACAAACGTGGCAAACCGTAAAAAGCAGTAGTTTTCTGTCCTTAAAAGCTGAAACATTCTTTGCACATAAACTCTTTGTAGCTTTAATTATCAATAACGCCGGGGTCAGCAGGACTTTTAGAGCAGCTTATTTGGGATGGGAATCAAGAAGAGTTTCTCTGAATATCAGTCTCTACATTCACTGTTCCTCACCGGTGTTGTCATGCGCTAAGTCCCGCTCGCCTCGCCCTCGTCTCCGTCCTCCTGCTCCTCCATGTTCTTGCGGGCCATCCGCTCTCTCCTCTCGGCCAGTCTCAGGCAGCGAGGACACTCCTTCCCGGCCTTAAAGCAGGTCTTGTGATAGCACGCACGACAATCTGCAGAACAAGCACGCACACACCATTACAGCCAACCATGACAGAGCAAAAACAGCACATTAGCTCCAAAACACTTTTAAATGCCTGTCGAGTGCAAGAGAGAAAGACGAACAGACAACCCAAAGAAAACATTTTAGCCTAGTTTAATAAATGCATGAATAAATCAAATGTATAGATGCATAAAGAAATGCATGCATAAAGAAATAGACGCATACCTGCATAAATAAATAAATAAAACTGAATAAATAAATGCATTTATGGAAACATAAATAAAAATGTATAAATAATTAAATGCATAAATAAAAACATGCATAAATAAAAAAGCACAAGTGAAATTGTATAAATAAATGCGTGAATAAAAAACGTGCACATGCAAATAATCAAATGCATATTAATATATAAACCATGTATGCATCAATAGAAATGTATAAATAAATAAATGCACAAATAAAATTGTGTGTACATGCATAAACAAATATAAAAATGTATAAATGAAATTGATCAATATAAAATGTATATATATAAATAAATGCATGTATAAATGTGTAAATAAAAACATTCATCAATGAATAAATAAAAATACAATTGAACAAATAAATGCATAATGCATGCATAAATTAATAAATATAATGTTAATTTATAAAATATATAAATAAAATTGAATAAATAAATGCATTTATGGAAACATAAATAAAAATGTATAAATAATTAAATGCATAAATAAAAGCATGCATAAATAAAAAAGCACAAGTGAAATTGTATAAATAAATGCACAAATAAAAGTGTGTACATGCATAAACAAATATAAAAATGTATAAATGAAATTGATCAATATAAAATGTATATATATAAATAAATGCATGTATAAATGTGTAAATAAAAACATTCATCAATGAATAAATAAAAATACAATTGAACAAATAAATGCATAATGCATGCATAAATTAATAAATATAATGTTAATTTATAAAATATATAAATAAAATTGAATAAATAAATGCATTTATGGAAACATAAATAAAAATGTATAAATAATTAAATGCATAAATAAAAGCATGCATAAATAAAAAAGCACAAGTGAAATTGTATAAATAAATGCACAAATAAAAGTGTGTACATGCATAAACAAATATAAAAATGTATAAATGAAATTGATAAATATAAAATGTATATATATAAATAAATGCATGTATAAATGTGTAAATAAAAACATTCATCAATGAATAAATAAAAATACAATTGAACAAATAAATGCATAAATAAATTAATAAATATAATGTTTTATTAATAAATGCATAAATAATAATGTACACATGCATACATTAAAATATATAAATAAAATTGAATAAATAAATGCATATTTAAATACATAATGCATAACTAAAATTGCATGTATGAATACAATTTTATAAATAAATGCATATATTAATGCATTAAAATAAATCAAATTAATAAAAAAAATATATAAAATGCTCACCATCACAACGCAGGCACTTGTTGAGCTCGTAGGGGAAGATAATGTCTTTGTCATTTCCACAGAACTCGCAGATGAAGCCCTTGGCCTGGCAGAGCTGTGGGGAAAACCACGAGAGACGAATAACCAATCTAGACCATGAAATAGCACTTCCCCGTCTCAGACGCCTAGAGAACTGTCAAAGTGTGTTCTCACCACGCAGTCTGTGACATGGCAGGAGCCGAGGCGGAGCAGATCCCGCAGCTTTGGGCCCAGACAGCCGCTACGGACAGCGCCGAGGTCGTTGAGGGAAAACAGGTGGAAGTCTTCCGTCAGATGTCCAGGGAATGTGTCGAACTGCTCCAGCACACTGTCAACAGAGAGGAGGCTCCTAATGCGCTGTTCAGTGTTTCAAACTAAACTAAACATGCAGTGAAAACACTTACTCTTTAGCCAAACGGCACGTTCTTAAGAGATTCTTCATGTGGTTTAACTGTTCCCTCAATGCCTGTAATAGAGCGGATGCAAATACAAAATCGCACATAAAAAGTTTATAAATATTACATGTGCGTAATGACAAGATCCAATCGTGTGCATGTGACGTACGCGCACTGTCTCCAGGGCTTTGACCTTCTTGTAAAGGCCGCTGTTGATGTCGTTCGGGTTGAAGAGCGGGTCTCCTGAGATCTTGGCCAGCAAGTCTCGGGAGAAGTTGCTGACGTAGCTTTTACTGAAGTCCCACTTCCTGAGGACCTTTCCTGGCACCACGGCCTGCGCGTTCTCGTGACAGCACTGGCAAAAGTACCGGCCCAGGTACTCACAGTACCTCAGCCTCTTTAAATAGTCTATTAGGAAGAGAAAGCACTCAAGTCAGCGCACATGCTCAAGTACAGCAGGTTATTTGTGTCGGGAACGTGCGCTCTGTACCTGGGTCGATGCGAATGCCACAGCCGGCGCAGCGGTAGTTCTGCTTCGCCACCACCACTTTCCTCCTGACAGATCAATGGAGAGATGTAACGGATACAGTCATGTGATGGAGGGAATGAAGCTGAATGCTGAGGGTCTTACTTTGGAGGAGGGTGGATGTTGAAGATGATCTGTGGTCTGGGAGGAGCCCACTCCAGGTTTCCTCGGACTCGGATGCGTAGCTTGTAAACGTCTGCGTGTTCGCCATCGTCCGGTGAGATGGGAAGAGAATCTGGCATTGGAAGAAGCTGGAAAACAGAAGAAGATATCCACATTTTAAGGCAAGATTTGAAGCCATTTTGCGCCCGTAACATGTCTTCTTTCAGTCTTGTGGAAGGAAAACATCCAAAA